GTGTAATACTGTATTAACAAAATGGTTGAAATGCCTTTGAAGAGAGTCCAATTAGAGCCGTAGTATTAAAGGATATACCTATCTAAATGACCTCATAAAAAAAATTAACACTAGTGCTTTACGAATTATTTAATCATTGCTTTAGACATGTATAAATATGTACATTTCAACACAATTTATCTAAATATGAAAGGCCGCGATTGCAGGTAAGCTGATCAGTGCTGATGCCATTACATTTCCATTTCTAAATTTTTCTCTGTGATAACTCTTTGAGAGTTAGTGGAGTTGATTTCTTGATAATTCTACCGTAATGTAAATTAGGCAGGTCAATAGCTAAGTTGGCCAAATATGCATGTAAATCTCGTGCGGTTGTCTTTGTATTTGACATCAGTGGGCAAGGACTTTTGAAATTGGCATGGGAGTACTCATGTAATTTAAATTCATGTCTACATTCTACAATAAATATAAGGAATCACTGTCTAGAAATGGAAATATAAGGAATCACTGTCTAGTTAGTATAGTATGCCAGGGACATCAGCGTTGATGCCCTCGCATATTTTACTAACTAGACAGTGTTTCCTTAATCAAATACATGTACACTGCATGTAGATTTCTAGCTGCAGATTTGTAGCTCTCCGAAAAAATGTATTTATAGACCGGAGAGCTACAGTGCCACCCATGGAAAAAACTGTATATATATTGCGCACAAAAAAGTGCGTTCGGTTCTTGATTAATTCTTCCAAATTCTTACCTCAATTGCAAAAAAATGGAAGATTGTAATCATTCCTTTCTCTTCAATCAAGTACTCTCGTAGTTGACATCTGAGCGAAGCATAATGGACCGAATTATCTTTGGAACCAAAATGGCAGTATAAATAAGCGAAATGTTCTGTGACTACAATATCAGGGTCAGGAGGACTATTCACAACAATTATGAGGAATGTTTGGTTGTGGAAACAGCAAAGGAATATGTTTTTTTACTTTTTGTGCGCAATAAATATACAGTTTTTTTCAATGGGTGGCACTGTAGCTCTCCAGTCTATCAATATGTTTTTCGGAGAGCTACAGATCTGCAGCTATAGTAGATTTCGTCAAATGACTGCAACACCTATCATTGATCAAACTATACATTTTTTTCATTTTAGAACTTTTCATAAATCTGAGTTGAAATCGAGACAATCGTTAAATAGACATATTATTGATTGATCTGACGAGTTTTGATCAATTTCAGGAATTTAGAAAGTTCATTATTTCAAACCATGCGTAATGATACAATTTAATTTTTCGTAAGTTTAGAAGTCGAGCTCACATGCTAAAGCATGACATGTGACTATCGGCTATATTTTTCTGTCAAGCAGGTGAGAATTTGTATTTGGGAATATGATCGCGAATGGCCAAGTCATTCCGACATTTGGAATCTATATACAGAAACCAATCACTGTAGCGTTTTTGAGATGATTTTCGATTGTTGTGTCCAAGTATTAACCCCCCCACCCAAAAAAAAGCCAAAAACATAAATATCTTTATTCCCCAGTCAGCAGCATTAATATCAGTACTGCTTTAGTTACAGTCTGATTTACTTGAAAAAAAAATAAATATAAATATAACTAATGATTTTTAATTTTTAAATATGGAATAAACTTTCTCAAAACAATACTTCGTTATGTAAATGAGCCTGGTGTTTTATGTTTCTCTGCGTGGTAGTAGAAAAGATTTTATTAGAGTATTTATGATTTAACCCTGAAGAACCAATTTTATACACCATGAGTTCATCTACGTGAAAGTAATATTCATTCTATTATATCGGGGTTGATTTTTTGCGAGGGGATGGCCCGCGGTGTCCTAATTTTCGGACTGGACTTCTCTCTTTTTTCATGGTATTTGGGAGGCATTGTATCGACACAATAAAGATGTACTTAAAAAAGTTGGTAATGTTTAGAAACGTACTGAGTTCGAGACCCGCAACGACAAATTAATTATCATTGAGTCACGCCAACTTTTTTTTAAGCGTCTTACATGTAATTATTAAATGCTCATCAAATACTGGAAAAAATGAGATAAATTATATATTTAAAATTAATTAAGTTATGCATAATTATTTGCATTAAGAAAGTACCAGGTTATATAAGGATCCGATTTCTTGTATACGACAGGTATAAATTAATAACATTTAGTATTAATATTATTTTTAAAAAGAGTTGGGGTCTCTTTTGTTCTATCTAAAGTATTTCCTTGCAATTGCTAGCTATAGGATTAAATGTTTGATTGCTTTATTGTACTGATATTAAAATTATTGGAATAAATATGATTCTTTTATAAGCATTTTCCTTACATCATTTTACCTTGGTTAAACAGGTGCTTTTTCATTACCAATTTGACGCTTTTTTCTGACGCAACTATTTTACGTCTTAGTTGACGTCATAGTACGGCATCCTTGACGTTATTGTCGTAACGTTATTCGGCGTCGAAAGGGTTAAATGACACTAGACGGTATGTATTTTACCAACAAAAAATAAGTACATAACTATACAGAAGCCTAAAACAAGAGAGATAACTCTAAATGACACATGACAGGAAGTGTACCTGTATTTTAACCTATACTGAATCAGGTGATAAAGTCACATCCAGTTGCTATTTTTGCAGAGAAAGAATAAGATTTATATAATATCTGTTTCAAGGTACTGTTTTCTTTTCCAATAATTTTATTTATAAGCAGTGATTGGCCATGGATTTGTTTTACCAAGCTTGATTTATTTTATCTAAAAGTTTTTTCTTGTGGTCCCTTAAAAGATTAAGACTTATTGAGAAAGACAATATCCGTGATTTCTTAATTTTTTTTCTTTATTTGCAGAGATAGAGAGAAGATTAGACTAAATTCTTATTTTAAGGTATTAATTTCTTTTTAAAATAATTTATAAGAAATGATTACTGAATACAGGGAAGTATACAGGGAAATTTTTGCCCTTTTTATTTTTATTTCTTTCGCCCTAATAGTCACAAGTGGGCAAATTTAAAATGGGGCAAATTCAAAGAACAGTAAAAATTCTTAAAGGCCAAGATTTTTAACAGTAGGGTTTTCTCAGGTAAGGGGAGGGACTATAAATTTTACATGCGTGGCACCCCGAGGTATTGACGGTCGTGCAGACCATGTGAAACGCTAATCCCTATACACAAACAGTATAAACGTGTATATTTATACGCGTGAGTATACACGAAAATGACTTTCAAATCAATTTCACAGTTGGCTTATTAGAAAAACACAGCGAATGTAAATATTACGTCATAAAGACTATAAAGTGACGTCACAATAAGTGTATATTTTTCTGATCTTTCCAATATGATAGATCAAACTCAATAATCTCCGTGAAACGTTCAATTTTTTTGAAACAGTTCTAAGAACTTTTGAAATGCCCCTCATACTTCACGCAACTTGTTGCGTAGGGTATAACAAGTTCTTTTTTGAGAATTTTCAGAATATGTTCTTTTTTAACATGTTTAATCTAAAAATAGAAAATAAATTTAAAAAATGTGACTTCTATATAACATTTATTTGATAATCGTCTAATAATCAATAGAGTTTTTCCAAGAATAATAAAAAGATAATTATATATTATAAATTTGAGTATATTCATTTAAAATTTAAAGTGCATATTATGAGGGTTGTTCGATATGTATTGTGTATTGTACCACAGCGCGATAACGCCTTGTACGATTTCGTCGATATTTATACGCCTGGATAACTCTATTCAATACCTTGCCAACAGTATAAACACGAGCCTTAATCTACACATGGTTATAAAATAATCGTCATTTCAATAGAGCCAGTCGTTGACCACTGTTGTAAAAATGGTTGGGAAACAGGTTGAGAATATTGAAGAAATTAGAGCTTATATAAAAGTTCGCACAAAACTCGGTAATTCGGTAAAGCAGATTTTTACTGAATTGGGGGAAGTTTATGGGTCTGATTTTAGGTACATGTATCTTATGAGACAGTTCGTAGGTGGAGACAGAAATTTCTGACTGGCACAGAGTCCGTCAAAGATGCAGCAAAATCGGGTCGACCTGTGACTGTATCAGGCAAGACAAATGTCTCAAAAGTCAAGGAAATAATTGAAAGTGATGGCAGGTACACGATTCGTGATATTGCCAAAGCTGTTGGCATATCGCTATTGCAGGTGAATTTCATTTTGAAGCGTATTTTGAAAGTACGAAAGATTTCTGCCAGATGGATACCCCATATATTGACAGATGACCAAAAAAAGGTACGAATACAAAACGCTAAGCGACTGCTAAAAATGTTTCCAAACTTCAATCAATATAATTTGCAGTTACTGGTGACGAAACATGGGTTCACTATTTTGAACCAGTAAGAAAAGTTGGAAACAAATTACGGCTAACCAAACACGGTAGAAGGCCTGTAGTTGCCAAAAGGACAATGAGCACAAAGAAGGTCCTTTATTGCATATTCTTCTCTTGTGATGGTTTAGCCGTACAAATTCCGGTGCAGAAGGGCAAAAGTGTTACAGGTCGGTATTACCGAGATGTTGTACTGAAAAAGCTCAAGAAATATTATCAGAAACGATGTCCTGTGTAGGGATTTAGGCACGTTCGCCTTCTTCATGATAATGCTCCATCACATACATCTGAGCTTGTGAAGCAATTTTTGAAGTCTGAGAATGTTACCATCTTGCCACACCCACCATACTCTCCGGATCTAGCACCATGCGACTTTTTCCTTTTTCCAAAACTTAAAAACTTCTTATCTGGTTGTTGATACAAGTCCCGACAGGCCCTTGGCTCAGCCGTCAGTCAGTGCCTCAGAGGTATACCTAAATCAGCGTACCGTGACGCATTTCAGAAATGGATTCATAGATTAAAATTTTGTATTTCAAATCACGGAGAATACTTTGAAGGGATGTAATGTCCATTTGACTATTTGAATAGAATGCTTTTGAGATATTGTACAATACACAATACATATCGAACAACCCTCGTATATTACTATTTAAAAAATCATGAATAAAAGAAATCTCAAATTTTAGATTCAAAGCCATCATGGATCCCCGCCTCAGTGCCCAGGATTTGATCAGATGTGACTTATGCGAGACAGCTGTAGTACAGATGTACTGTGATTTCTGTCATGTCAAGCTTTGTAAACCCTGTATTGGAGAACACATTGCTGAGGAGTATAACAAGCATCAAATTGTCCCATTTCAGCAAAGAAAATCAACCTTGATTTATCCAAAGTGTACAACACATCCGACCAAAACCTGTGAATTACAATGCAAAGAATGTGACATCCCTATTTGTGCTTTGTGCTCAGTATCTGAAAGTCATAAGAGACACTCAATGTCAAACCTTTTCGAAATTTATAACACAAAGAGACAAACCATTGAAAAAGACTTACAGGATATAGAAAGCATAATTTCCCCAACATATGAAGAAATTGCCACTGGTACAGAAATCCAGATAGAAAACTTAGAAAGAGAATATGAGAAACTTACAACAGCAGTGAAAAACCATGGAGAAGAATGCCACAAAGAAATTGACAACATTGTCAACAAACTGACAACAGAAATTAAAGAGATGAAAATCAAACACAAGGCCATTCTAAAGAAACATCTGGAAGAAATCAAACAGATACAGTCAGTTATTGAACAAACACTGCTCAGTCTGAAAAAAGTGGAAGAATCAAATGAAATACTAGTATCTATGGCTATAGAATATAAGTCTAAAAACCAAGAATTCTGCAATCTTCCTCCAAAAGTTCTAGTATCACTGCCAATATTTAGCCCAAAGACAATAGATACTGAACAGCATTACAAGTTGTTTGGATCTTTGATACCATTATCCACCACAACAGAAGAAAATGGATACAAACTGAAGAAACCAGAGACACCAGCTAGAGAACTGCTGGAAGAACCAGAACTTATCACCACTATAAATACTAATTATAAAGAACTCCGTAGTGTTGCCTGTCTCAGTGAAGAAGAAATCTGGACAAGTGGAGTAGACAGTGATATGAAATGTTTAAACATCCAAGGTTCACTTATCAAGACAATCGGAACAAAAACAGGAGAGTGGCCTTATGATATAGCAGTGACAATTGATGGGGCTTTAGTTTACTCTGATTGGGAAAGAAAGACCATAAATAAAGTGAAGAATGGACAGACAGTGGAGATGATCAGACTACAGGGCTGGCGACCTTTACAACTCTGTGTTACCTCCTCTGGTGATCTCCTGATTACCATGTACAGAGATGATTATTTCTTGGTTTCTATATTTCCTAGACCACGGTCCAAAGTTGTCCGTTACTCAGGCTTCACAGAGAAACAAACAATCCAGTTTGATGAGGAGGGTAAACCTCTGTATTCAGGAAATAATACAACTAAGTGCATCAGTGAGAACAGAAACCTAGATATCTGTGTGGCTGACCGGGAAGCTGGTGCTGTAGTAGTGGTCAATCAGGCTGGAAGACTCCGATTTAGATACACTGGTCATCCTTCTGCTACAAAAAACAAACCATTTAAACCCCGCAACATCACAACAGACAGCCAGAGTCAGATCCTGACAGCAGACCGTGATAACCACTGTATCCACATCCTAGATCAGGATGGTCAGTTCCTCCGTTATATAGATAACTGTGGTCTGAGGGAGCCATTTGGTTTATGTGTGGACAAAAAAGACAATTTGTTTGTGGCTGAGTGGAGTGGAAAGCTTAAGAAAATTAAATATCTTAGATAGACATGTATTTAGGTATATAATGTGGACACCCTTTTTTAAAAAAGCCTAAAAGGTACTCATCTATTAGTTTTATTTTATTAAAATTTACGAACTTATGTTCATTACAAACAGTCTTTAAGGGACTCCGACCCTCAGCCAGGAAGGACGTGTCTTTAACTTATAATTTCATTACAAAATTCTTTAAATGAAGCTTGGAAATTAAATTTTTTCATGCAAAAATTTTCATTATATGCCTCTCAATGTGCTTCAAGGTTCTTTGAACATCTCAGAAAGGTCTAATTAAAAGAAGACATTTTTATCCCGTAAAGGCATTTTTAGATACCAATGTTTATTAAGTTAACATGATATGAAATAAGAAGTGATTTATAGAGCTTTGCAAAAACCTTGAAGCACATTGAGAGGCATATAATGAAAATTGTTGCATGAAAAAATTTAATTTTCAAGCTTCATTTAAAGACTTTTTGAATTAAATTATAAATTAAAGAGTTGTCCTTCCTAGCTGAGGGTCGGGGTCCCTTAAAGTGCCATTCTTCCTTTTGAAAACATATGCTATCTATACTACTATATTGAAATAATAGACTCAAATTTTTGGCCTTTAATTACGATAAATCGGAAGAGTACTGTCTTTTGTTTTATATATTTTAAAACATCATTGGTACTTGAAGATTACCAATTTGTTTTTTCCCTCAATTATAAGCCTATTAATCGAAGAAAATTACAAAACAAAATTCCAGATAACATCTAGATTTTTTTTATCTTACAATCCTGTGCATTGCATTGAGAGTGATTAAATGGGTAGTAAAACCTGGGCCGGGTCGGGAATGTATGTCTACATTTTGTAAATCTTTTCTCATGTATGTCTACATTTTGTAAATCTTTTCTCATGGTCAGTTGTATGTATACATGTAGCTTTGTCAATGGTTCAATTCCTTTCAGGCAGTCATAACTTTTTAACAAAGAGATAATCTTCCAATGGACAAGACACGACTAAAAACATTGTTTACAAAGAAGTTTTGAGTGGAAAATATGTTACTATTTTTATTACTTTTTCTCTGTACTAGCTAGTATTCTTTAATATTAAAACAGACATTCAAGAGTGCATTTCCTTATATCATTTATACATAAAGTATATTTGATATTCTATATTTTTATTATTTTTAGGGGGGGGGGTGCAAGATAATCTGTTTTGCTGCACATCTGCTAAATTGTGTAAAAATACCAGTATAACACATTTGTCCATATATCTGCTTTAACAGATTATTAGCTATTACCTGTGTATATATTAAGTACATGCATAAGCAGTGCTAAACTTTTTCATTGTTGATGTCATATTTTAAAAGATGAGACAGTGTTCAAATCGTAACAAAAATTGTTACAGTTTTAGTTTAATTAATAACTGATTGCGTAAACAAGAGGCCCAAGGGCCTTGAATCGCTCTTCTGATAAATTGTACAACCTATCACTTCTATTTGAAGCCTCTAACCTTAAGTATTCTAAGAGCCAAGTTGCATCAACTGACAAAGTTTGATGATTCTTAGCCAATTATAACTGAAGATATTTTAATAAAGTTATTTAAAAAAAAAACATAAGTAGGTCACAATGACCTGCTTTAAGATTGAAGTTTTCTGAGGACTCAAGATGCATTAATAGACAAAGATTGAAGATTCTAAGCCAATAAGTATGTGAGATATTCAAAAGTAAGTCACCTTGACCTACTTTTTCATCTACATTCTTGGAAAAACCAAAATGCATCAACTGACAAAGTTTGATTATTCCTAGCCAATAAGTACTGGAGATACTTAATTATAGCCATAAAATGTTAAAAGTAGGTCACTGTGACCTAATTTTTAGAAGGCGATTTTCGAAAGCCCAAAATACATCAACTGACAAAGTTTGATGATTCTCAGCCAATATGTTTCTGAGATATTCAAAAGTAGGTCACCATGACCTACTTTTTGGTCGTCACTCTCCGAAAACATAAGATGCATCAACTCACAAAGTTTGATGATTCTAAGCTTATAAATACCTAAGATACTTAAATAAAGCTATAAAATGTCAAAAGTAGGTCACCGTGACCTACTTTTTTGTCGTCACTCTCCGAAAACCCAAGATGTATCAACTCACAAAGTTTGATGATTCTTAGCCAATAAATACCGAAGATACTTAAATAAAGCCATAAAATGTCAAAAGTAGGTCACCGTGACCTACATTTTAGTCAACATTTTTCAAAGTCTCAAGATGCATCTGCTGACCAAGTTTGATGATCGTAGGTCTGAAGGTACTCAAAATATGCCCTTTAAACAATATGAAAACATATGCCTGCAAAATTCAAAAAGTAGGTCACAGTGACTAACTTTTTCATAAATATGTTTTAAGGTCCCAAGATGCAGCAACTTACAAGATTTCATGATCCTAACCCTCTCAGTGTCTGCAATAATGGGATTAAATGTTTTAAAAAGGATAAGTCATCAAGTTCAAAAAGTAGGTCAAGGTGACCTACTTTTAAGTTGACGTTGTTCAAGGACCCAAGATGCATCAACTGACTAAGTTTGATGATCATAGGCCTTAAGGTGTCCAAAATATGCCTTCAAATCAATTTGAAAACAAATGCCCACAAAATTAAAAAAGTAGGTCACTGTGACCTACTTTTGATTTAACATGATGTGAAGTCTTAAGATGCATCAACTTACAAGATTTGATGATCCTAGTCCTTATAGTAAGCAAAATATAAACGTTTTTATCAATTGTAAATTTAGGTCAACTTTGAAGTGATCTTGAGACCACGCCCTTTGCCCCAGGGTCATGCCTTGAACAATAATCTTCAACATATTCTGATCCTTGTGTGTAAGTTTGGTGAAAATCTGCCTGGTGGTTCTGGAGAAGAAGATTTTTTAGCAACCAGTACTTTTGGTTTTGTTTTCCTGATTATCTCCCCTTGTGTAAGGGTCCCAACCCTTATTTTAGTATAAATGGTAGCCCTTGGGCAAAGGATACCTTGTGAAAAATTTGACACTGATTGGCCAAGGCGTTCTTGAGTTATGGCCCATTTTCTGAAAAGTTAATGCACACCACACGACGCACAAATGGCCATAGCATTAGCTCTTTGAGCCTTTGGCTCAGAAGAGCTAAAAACCCTTAGCCAATTTCTTCATTTTTATTACTTTGCTTTAAAATGTATCAGGGTCATTTTCAAAAAATGTCCAAATTCCTGTTATACAAGCTTTTTTTGAAAATTTTGCAATAAAAATCAAAATTTTTTTACCCGATGAATTTAACAACAATCTACAAGTGTAGAAAAAAATTAAGTGCGATTAAAAATTGACTTGAATACTGAAAAAAGTCCTTCAACCTGAGTAAAATTAAAGAGAATTGCTTGTGATTTGGCCGGATGTTTGACTTCAACTCTGATTATTGATGTAGTAAATATAATTAAGCAGTGTAAAATGACCTTTATTGTGTTGTACATGTTTAATACTGTCTAAATGCATGCTAAAATGTGATTGAAAAAGAGTAAGAATATGATTTTTTTTAAGTTAAGTGTGTGTTATTTTGGCCGTGTCCTTGGAGTTACCAGGACATAAAAGTTATCTGTAACAGTTATCTTTCCTAAAGAAACTCTTCACTATCAGCCTCCTTCTTTTGGTCTTGTTCCCGCCAAAATATCATGAGACACTTTACACAGATCTTTTATACCACATGCACAATATGTGGTTGAAGGCAAGTTTGATTGCAATAGTAATTTATTTTTGAGTCCTAGGAGTTACTTCGATATTGTGATGATAAATCAATTTGCCATTTCTTTGATGCATTGAGCAAGTTTATAACAAAATACCTATCATCTAGGAGCTGTGCTTTATGTTCATAAGTCAGTTATTGCTTTTATACTTCCAATTATTTATATAATAATTCCCTGGTGTTACTGTCCATTTTGTTACTGCAAGAAAAGTTACTCCAAGGACGTACAGTCAATTCTCGAATTATCGCCATTCGATTCATCGCCATTTTCGCAATACCGCCATGATTTCCCAAGAACGTTTTTCCTGCTATATAAAATTCTCTTTATAACGCCAAATTCGCATACCGCCATCCGCCACCCTGTTTTCAAAACAAACGTCCATTTTTTAAGTGTCAATTATCTCGATATACCGCCACAGGTGCGTGTGGTCAGTGAAGCGCGGCTAATTGGTTGACACTATCCCTGTTGTAAAGTATGCAAGGTACATGCAATTTTAAAGTAATTAAACAAGAACTAAATAAACAATAATTTTAACATGACCTGTATAATAATTTTGTTTTCTGTTTTATAAAAAATCATTTAGTAACGGCTTCGCCACGAAAGCGGGGTCGTTGTTAAAGTACGCCGATAACTAATAACTATTTTATTCAGATGACTTATGATTTAGACAATGCAAAGTTTGCTGAAAAAATAATTATACGGTATAAATTGTGAACGTTTAATTAACAATGTTGCCATAAACAATAAATTTATTCAAGAATTCATTTTACTTATTATCGGCAAAATATCACGACGATCGACCCAGTATGTTTTTTTTTTAAATAGAATACCTGCAGACATGTACTTGTCTTTATTTCGTAACTGCACATTTTGTTTTAAATAGCGAATTTTGACATTAAAAAAATAACTTGAAGTATTTTTAATCATGATTATGTTTTTAAATATACATGTACATGTAATAATAAGAATAGAAACGCTAAATGGTATTTCTAAGAACGGTAACTCTACTTCTTGTTTTCCAGAAGATTGGAAATTCAATTCATCGCCAAATTCGTTATACCGCCATGATTTCTAAATGACAAAAGGTGGCGGTTTATCGAGAATTAACTGTATCTAATTACTCCATGGACAGTTTACATAGAAAATAATTAAAAAGAATGAAAGTTGGAGTCATATGTTTTATTTTCCTCCCTTATTCAAAACTATCCAGTAACTAATTTTGTTTTAAAATGCCAAATTATTTACTAGATGTTTTTACCATTTGAAAATCATATGATTTTGCAGTCTTGGTTATGCAAAGGACAGAATTGGGTAACTCCGCGG